CCGCGCGCCCACAGCTCGCCCACGGTTGGCAGCAGCGGCGCCCGAGGCCTCATGGCGCGCCTCACCCAACTGCCGCCCAGCCAGGCTCCGGCCCCCGCGGCGCCGGAATTGGCGTCCCGGAAGGCGGCGCGCCAGAAGTGGCGTCATCCGGAGCGCGGCCGTCCCGTCCCTCCGCCTTCGAACATCTCGCTTCCGCGCCACACTAGTGGGGGGCTCGGGGCGCGCGGCGGCCGGGCTGGCTGCCCGCCCCTTCTGCCGGGGTGCCTGGGTCATAGTCTGGGCCCCGACGAGCGCCTACGTGGTTCGTGCCCGCAGCCCCACGCCGCGCGGCGCCCTCAGGGGCGCCCCCGGAAGGCGTGGCCGAGGCAGTCGGCGCTCAGGGGCTCATTACGGCTGGGCAGCAAGCCTTTCCCCTTCCCCGGCTGGGCAGCAAGCCTTTCCCCTTCCCCGGGGTGGGGAGCGGCGTCCTGGGGGGGATAAGGGTGGGTAAGTTAATACCCCAATTTACCCACAGAGCCGCCCCAATCCTGTGCTAGTTCTCCTGTCCTCGTGATTAGGAGCTTGCCCAGAGGAGACCGCCCACAAGGTATATTTCCACGCGTGGAACTTCTTTAAATTTTAAAGATTTATTAAGGTACAATTTACATAAAGTACAATCGAATAAGTTTTGACAAACGCAGTCTTGGAACCATTAGCAGAGTCTATATAACATATCCACAAAGTTCTATCAGGCCCTTTTGCTGACAATGTCCTACTGTCAGAAAATACCTCTGACATCCAGTAACTAGAGCTCCGTGGAGGTGATGCAATGGTCTTTCAGTTCACTCAACACAAAATACACTGGGAAAAACTACAAAAGTAATTCTCAGTATATAGCAGGCCAGTTTGTGTCCTTTCCCTGTCAACAACTTAGCAGTCTGTTTCATAACTGCTGCGGGTTTTTCACTTTCCGGATCAACATCCATGGCATGTAAACCAGTAAATCTCTTAGGTGTAAACATATTCTTTGGACCCTATCCAGACCTATTAAAACGTCTAAAGTTCTTGCAAATGGTTCCCTAGGCTAACACTGTCCTATAACAACACTACTCTTATTTTAAAAACCCACCTTTCAGTACAAAACATCCGAGGAAAGTTTTTGCTGACACTGACAAGATAATGCAATATATAGGATTTGTTCTTGCCCGTGTTCATTTCTTGAGCTCCTCAGAATATCAAAAAGGCAAATGAATCCCCTAAAATATCTCCATCCATTATATATTTTAAATACCTTTAAAATTGTTAAAACTAATGTTTTTATATCAAGTTGCTCTAAAATTGGGGGGGGAGGATACCACGTTTACAGAAAGGGTAAATTCCCAATATTCATTAACAGTCAAGGTCCAAATGAAGGCACGGTCCTGTGGTATTTGAATTCCAAACAACTTTTATTAAAATTGAAAGCATAATTCTTAAAACTATTGAGTCAAAACCTTTGTTAAGAAAAAAACCAAAAAAACAAAACACAACCCATATAGCATATTTTTAGATAAGGAGTAAGTATTTCTAGGTTAACACAGATGACTTTAAACTTTACTCTTTAACTAAATTGTAGGGAAACAATCAAGGTATTTACAGAAAATAATATCTACATATGTACTGAAGAGGTACAAATTTGGTAATAGACAAAACTTTAGTAAATGCTGGCATTTCAGAAGCAGTTCTCAAAATTTTATCTTCTTAGATTTTAAGAATGCCTAAGAACCTTCTTCATCTTCAATCTTGGGGGCCAAATAGTATTTTAAATGTCCCATATCAGCAATTTTATATTCTACAACTGAAAGAAAAACATAGTTAATTATTGAGAAGAGCCACATATACTACTTACAAAATTAGATCCATCAACTTATTATCTTACCAAGGGGTACGTCTGCAGACATACTGAGTGTTACTGTGGGAGAGAGTGGAGTGGCTTTTGTAAAGAAGTTCAGGTACCTCAGTGCAAAAGTTAGCTGTACTGGCTCATTCATCTCTATTGTAACCTAAGGGAGAAAATATACATTATACTGAAAAACAATTTGTTTGTAATACACACTTAAAAAAAAAACAACTTTGGGGCCCTCCCTGGTGGGGCAACTGGTTAAAGCACAGCACAATGAGGCTACTGCAGCCACTGCAGCAAGAGTTCAATCCCCAGAAGGGAGGTGACCCACATGGTGTGTCAGGTGTCTGCTGACCTGCCCACTGCTCCCAGGGAGGAAAGAAATAACTAGAAAAACTGAAGGACTGCAGTAGATTTAAGGGGCTTATCAGGCAACTGCAATGTACAAACCTTTTAAAAATCTCGACTCAAAATATTTTGAAATAACCAAAGAAATAGAAGCACTGGAAAAACTCTCAATCTTGAATGATTCTTAGATCCTTTTCACCCCCCTACCTCTGGCCTATACCACTAAAAACATTTTATTGGTTCCTCTGGAGGGGGCTATGCAAGCAATTTTGAAGATTTGTACATACAGGCAGTATTACTCTGCCTTTTCTATATGAACTGTATCTTAGGTGACCAAATATGATAAAAGCTTATTTTTTTTTTAAAAAAGATTTACTTACTTATGCACACAGAACGGGGGTATAGGCCAGAGACGCAGGGGCAGTGAGAGGATTCACCAGAGACAGAGTGGAGAGTAGAACAGGCAGATTAACTGAAGTACACTGCTGAGGGGAGCAGAGGGCGTGTCAGGAGAGGTCTGCCACACTATGTGGATCGCCTCCGGAGCGGGGGCTGCACTTGTATTGAAGTGGCTTTAGCTTCGTAGTGCTGTGCTTTAACCTGCTGTGCCACCAAGGAGAGCCCGATAAAAGCTTCTTTATGGAAATACTTCTAATACATTCAATATATTAATGGATTATAATTCTGCAAACCACAACAATTTAAAAAACCTAGTCAATGACTATTGTTGGTAAAATTGCAAGATATCCAGACTATCTTGCTGAATACTGGAACTAAATTACTGTTGCTCTTCCACCCTACAAACAACAAACACCCTATCAACTAACCCCTATAGCCACAGCTACCAGCTTATAGGAAATAGGAGGTGGGGGAACCTGAAAGTCTAGTTTACAGAAAACTCAGTAAAAAATGATCCAGTTTCTTCAACAAATAAATTGTAGAGGACAGGGAGGAAAGAAATAACTAGAAAAACTGAAGGACTGAAGTAGATTTAAGGGGCTTATCAGGCAACTGCAATGTACAAACCTTTCAAAAATCTCGACTCAAAATATTTTGAAATAACCAAAGAAATAGAAACACTGGAAAAACTCAATCTTGAATGATTTTTAGATGTAAAATTTCTTATCTTTACTTCAGATTACTAAAATAATTCTGAACAAAATGTTTTTGAGATAAAAAAAAATCAAGGTTGGTAGAGAAGTGAAATGTAACATAGAAATGGATGGTAGTCAGAATTATTCCGAGTTTTCCTTTAAAAAATTTTTTTTAACTGATTTGACTGATTACTTATACAAGGTTTGATTACTTAATAAGGGTAATCTGGTAAGGTAAAATTGTGTTACAATGCTTTTCAATGTACTTTCTATTTAAGTATAAAACAAACTTACAGCTTCCTCTTCTTTATCAACATTACTTGTCTGTGACAGCTTAATATTTCCATTTCCAAGTTCTCCGCTTGCAGAAAATTTCACTCCATCTTTTGCACAGGATATCACAACAGCATCTCCAATATGACTGAGGTCTCTGCATATACGTGCAAATTCACCCGAGGGCATCTTTACTACACAGCTATACTCTTGTTCCTATAAAACAAAAATATTTAAGGACAAAATGCTGGAATTAAAGAGTTGGCACATTTATTTTTTGAAAAATCAGCATCTAAACATTAACTCAGAATGCAAAGTATACCGATTAAAGTATCACTTGTGATTTCCTAACACATCCCAATCACTTCCAAGTATATTTTAAAAATAATCACACTAGGGCCCTCCCTGATGGCGAAAAGGGTTAAAAGTTTAGCACGCTGGAGCTAGAAGCTAGCTACCTAGCCACAGCTTCAGCTCTTCCTCTCTAGGGAGGTGAACCACATGCCGCAGCAGACCTCCCCTGTCCTGCCTCTCTGCAGTGTACTTCATCAACGTGCATGTTTTCTGTTCCCCACTCTGTCTATGGTGAATACTCTCAGCCCCTCACCTCTGGCCTGCACACCAGTTCAGCATTCATAAATAAATCTTAAAACTAAATAAATAAATAACCACACTAAAAACAAAAGAGCTCAAACCTTTAGCAACAATGCAGTCATTATTCAGGGAACAAAAGCTTCCTAGTCATCACCCAGGGCTAACGCAAGAGGACACCAGGGTATGGCATACAAAGTGCTGCAAGCAGGCTACCTACTTTCCACGAAGTTAAGAAATGTGATGATAGGCATTTTAAATATCCCAATATATTTTCCTCTCATCCAATACTGACTAACCTTAACAAATTTCTAGCCAAGGAAAGAAATTAATTTCTGCCAAATGAACTTCAAAATCTAATCACTATAAACTAGGCATTCTAGGGATAAAGAATGCTACATTAATGCAAGCAAGCACTGGCAGCTATAAATTCAGCCAAAGAGCTGTAATTTAATAAATGACAAATATGTCTGTCTGAATTAAATACTAAAACTTCATTGTGGAACACAGACCAGCAGATATACAGAAAAGTTCTGTTAGGCAACTGCCTTTACTTTTTAAATGTATTTATTTTTTGGTTCATTTCCAAAGTTTATTAGCCAGGATATAAACAGTAACGTTTCTTTTTCTCTTACTCATTTAACTACTAAACATTTATTTCAAGCCTGTTAAAATCATTAAAAAGAAAAAACTTAAGTTCTAATAGGGTGAGTCAGGAGGTCAGCTGTATGTGTATGTGTGTGTTGGTGAAATAGTGCTACAGCATGACATAGGACAGTGCCAAGATAGACAACAGGTCACCGTCTAAGGAAGCTGCTTTAAGTTATTATCTATGTATCTCAACTGTGCACTGTACACTTAATCAGAAAAATTCTGATACTTACTGGAATTCCAAGTTGTTCAACATCTAAATCCATTAATTTCATTTCATAGTCTGAAACTTTTTCTTGATCTAACAGAGAAAGCATATGTAAGTTTCAAATAACAAAAAGATAAATTTTACATGAATCATAAATATGGCCCTCCTGGTGGCACAGGGTTGTTTCAGGGACATCAAGCTATCACCAGCCACTGTGTGGCATGACTTCGATCCAGGGAAGTGACCCCCATGGCACAGCAGACCTCTCCTGTCTCACCCACTGTTCCCCTCAGCAGTGTATTTCAGTCACTCTGCCTGTTCTGCTCCCCACTGTTTCTGGTGAATCCTCACACCCCCTACCCCCACAACTCTGGCCACCCACACCAGTTCTTCTATGCATAAATAAAAATAAATCTTAAAAAAAGTCACAAACATGTTAAATTTCCCACAATTCTGAGCAGTAGTGACACGACATTTTCATTTTCTTTAGCATAACTCAATAGAAGAGTCTGACTTACTTGGAGCTTCAAACACTAGCGCCAAGGTGTCTGCATTATCTTCAGCCCTTAGTGTGATGATGTCTTCATTGCCAGCACATTTTAGTATTTTGGACATGCTAGAGCACAGAAGACACAGGGGCTAAAATTAGCACTATCTTAAGATGGGGAGATGTCTAAAGCAATTAAAACAAGGAGTTAAAACGGCCTGTCGGGTGAACTGGTGAATTAGGAGAAAGTAAAAAAGACGATGCATAAGCCGATGTCCATTCACTTTGGGATACTATCAGGCAGGACTTCTATTACATCAGCAATTTCACCTTTGGATGTAAATAAAAGGATACTATTCTGAGTCGCAAGGACACTATTCGGAGTCGCGAACCCGTTTAGTGGGTTAAATAAACTGCTGAACTGCGAATATTAAAAACTACCTAATAGGGCTGTCAAGACACACAGCACGTGGGGTGGGCAATTCTCTTAAGCTTTTAAAATGTTAAAATACGTATATGTAGTACTAGGTAGGTAAACACTCGTCAAGAAATTTATGTCGCTGCCCTCAAGAAATTTCCCTCAAGTTCAGGACTTTAGGGTGCTTACAGCAGCCAGGTGACAGTTTTCAGAACAAGAAACATCCCCGAGCTGGGTAACAGGACTAATGCACTTTATAAAACGGTTGAAGACTACCAGGGCCATGGTTTCACATTCAAAAACCACCGAGTCTCAATGACCCGAGGGCCCGATGACAGTCTTTTCCAGGCACCGCGGAGACGCCGTCATTTTCCCGCCACCTCCCGCTTTGTGACTTTGGCGCGGAAAAAGGGCCGGTTGGCGCGGACCCCAGCGCGGGCTTTCGGAACCGCGCGCTCCGCTGGAGCCGCCCCCCGGAGTCGCGAGCCAATAAGAAGGCGCGGCTGACCCAAGCCAGCCAATGAGAGGCCGCTCTGGCGGCTCTCCCGCCAAGGGCCCAAGATGGGGGGTGGCAGAAGACCCCGCTCCCCGCGGCCCCGGGGCTCACCTGGTGAGGTTCACGCCCATGGCCAGATTGCGATCGCAGCGGTACGTATCGAAACCCTCGGAACGCAGGGTGAGCTGCACCAAGGAGACATGGGACGAGTCCATGCTCTGCAAGTTCACGCCGCTCGAGCTGATGTCCCAGCAGGCCTCATTGATGAGATCCTTAAGCGCCTCCAGCACTTTCTTCAGGATGGAGCCCTGCACCAAGCGCGCCTCGAACATGGTGGCAGTATCACAGCGACGGAGTTACAGCGGCGGAAAAGAGGTCTGTGCAGCCGACTTGGGCTTCACAGAATGAAAGCTGACGACGACTGACAGAAGGAAGCGGCGACAGCCCCAGACGCAGGAAGTACACAACCAACCCGCAGCGCCTGCAACCGTTTAATACCGCCGCGGCTGCGAACGCGCGCTCTCCGCCTACGCGCCCGGAGCCAAACGTCACCACGCAGTCCCGCCCACAGGCTGGGCGGGGACACTTCAGGACCAATCATATGTCTGGTCCACGAGCCGCCCCCCCCCGCTCCGTTTCCGGAACTTTGATTGGAGGAGGGGCGATCGAGGGCGGAGTTACGTCTCTCAGGCACCCCGCCTTTTTGTCTTGTTCTGGAACTTGGTCGCTGGACGCGTCCCGGCGACCCCGCGAGCTGGGACCTAGCTGGGGGTCGTCGGGTTCCACGTTTGTGGAAACTCCTCAGTCCTCCCGCTTCAGGAACAGAAAGTTTTCTGCCGCAAAAGCGCAAGTGAAATGCAAATCCATTCTACAGCGAGGACAAGACGTCTTGTAACCTGCAGACTACAGATGCTCTAAATATGCAGCTATTTTGCGACTATAGAGGTGCACTCCTAAAAATCGTAAGATAAAGAGGTTTACAGTTATGATTTAATGATAAGGTGTCGGCTCCCCACTACCAACGTTTAGCTCGCCTCCTACCAGTCAAACGCGTATTTAATCATTTATACAGTTTTCTAAGCTTTGTTTTATGAACACATTTAAAAAAGAATGGGTTCATACCGTAGGCACTTACGAAATGTACTTAATAAAGCATTCTTAATGTTATATACCATTTATGTCTTTTCTATATCTATATCTATAGGATGTCAGATAGCCTGACATCCTATGTACGTAATCTGAGTTTCCAATTTCTTGTATAGAAACACCGTTGGGCACTTAGGTGATTTTTGGGAAAACAGTTTGGAGTACTATCCATGGGTTGACGAACATACACATGAAATTTTTTATGTTACATACAAAACTGACCTCTAAAAGATGATAATTTAGGGCCCTCCCTGGTGGCGCAAGGGCTAGCAGCAGCCACTTTAATGAGAGCTCTATCCCTAGGCTCCCAGGTGACCCATAAGACCTCTCCTGGCCCACCTACTGCTCCCCTCAGCAGTGTTTATTTATGCATACAGAACTGGGGTACAGGCCAGAGGTGCAGGGTCGGTGAGAGGCTTCACCAGAGACAGAGTGGGGAGCAGAACAGGCAGATCCACGAAGTAAACTGCTGAGGGGAGCAGTGGGCAGGTCAGGAGAGGTCTGCCATGCCATGTGGGTCACCTCCAGGGCAGGCAGGGATCAAACTCGTGCAGAAGTTGCTTTCTTTTTAAAATCTCATTTGTGTGAAAAATTCAAGTTGAATGTTAAAAATTGTTACAGGTTAGACACCTTTCATATATTTCTTGACTACTGTTTATATTTTTTATTAAAACTTTTTCCTACTGGTTAAATGTATCTTCATCTATTTATTAATCATTTCCACATTATATATATATCCCCTTTAGTATTTCTCTTGTTTTGATTACAGTATCACTCTTTAGTTGTGTTTAATATCTAACGATATGTAGAATTTTTCAGTTTTCTACCATGTACCTAGGTGTGGATTTAGTTTTAATCACTTGTGAATTTTATGTCCCTCAATCAGAAGATTCCTCTATTTCATCAATTCTAGAATGTTCTTAACTATTGTGATTTTAAGTATTACCTTTTTACTCTGTTCTCCCTCTGGTATTTCTATAAGATATGAATATTTTATTAAATTTAAGATACCTTCAGGGCTCCCTCGAGCTGCAGGGGGAGAAGTCTCAGCTATTGGCAGCCATGGCAGCACGAGTTGCATCCCATCACAGGGAGATGACCCACATGGTACAGCAGACCTCTCCTTGCCCACTGCCCCTCTCAGCAGTATATTTCAGGGGATCCACCTATTCTGCATGTCACTGTATCTCTGGTGAATCCTCTCACCTCCCACACCTCTGGATTACACCCCAGTTCTTGTATACATAAATAAATAAATCTTTAGGAAAAAAACCTCAATTGTAAGATACACTATTATTTAACACAGGAAATAAAGCATAATTCAAAATTACCATTTATAACTTGTTATTGAAAGAACTTACAGGCATTTATAAATATTTTTATCATATGTCATCCTGTGCATACATTAAACAAAACCAATTGTTTAGGCTTTCCTATATTTTTCCAGACTTAGTTTCCTATTCAGTTGTTGATACTGGGTAGGTATACACTATTTTATACACTATTATATAACACAAGAAAGTATAATTTCAAATTACCATTGGGATTTATTTTGTAATTGAAAGAACTTTTAGGATTTTATAAATATTTTTATCATATGTCATCCTTGCGCATACATTAAACAAAACCAATTGTTTAGGCTTTCCTGTATTTTTCCAGACTTAGTTTTCTAACTAGTTGCTGATACTGCTGTTTCTATATAAGTTTATATCCCATTGTCAAGGTTATTGATGATACAGCATTTCTTAAGAGTACTACTCTATTGTCACTGGAATTTCTTACAACTCTTGCATACATTTGTAAATTTCTGGTAATTTCTGGGCCTAAAAGATCAACATCTCTTGGGGGAAATTAAGCAAGGATTTTTAATCTAAAGGACCTAGAGACCATCAACGCAGAAAGAGCTACAGGGTCTTCCTCTGAGACAGGTGGAATTGTCCATATCCAGAGACTTACCTTTCAAAACACATAATTGAGGAATGTTACAACTGCATAGATGCGCATCACATTAGTTTATTTTTTTAAGATTTGTTTATGCATACAGAACTGGGGTACAGGCCAGAGACACAGGGGCGGTGAGAGGATTCACCAGAGACAGAGTGGGGAGCAGAACAGGCAGATCCACGAAGTACACTGCTGAGGGGAGCAGTGGGCGGGTCAGGAGAGGTGTGCCATGCCATGTGGGTCACCTCCAGGGCAGGCAGGGATCAAACTCGTGCGGAAGTGGCTTTCGATTCTTAGTGCTGTGCTTTAACCCGCTGCACCACCAGGGAGGGCCCACATTAGTCTTAATGGAAGCTCAACTGTTCTCTTTCAAGCCAGACTAATATAAAGGAAACTGGAGAACAGGGGCACACAGATCAGAGTTACATAATACAAAGTGTGACTTCCTTGAGTAGATAGCCCTCTTACAATCTGGCCCAAACAAATTAATTTCTCATCACACTCAACTGTCCCAGGATAACAGATCTCAGATCAAGATCTCAGATCAAGATCTCAGACTTAAGTCCTGAAGTCAGTACTGTGGAGAATAGAAATGAAGTATACTACTTTTACAAGTCTTGCTAACAAGCCTGGAGGCCAGTATGGTCTTCTTTTCAAACATGCTATTTTTTCAATCTAGAATACTCTCACTTTCCAGCTTGCTTTACCAGTAAAATGCTAACTCATGGGAGAAGACTTTTAGAAGACACCTAAGCCATTTATATGCCCTCTTTCCTTTGATGCATTGTGGGTAGAGTAGTGATAATATTATTGATTTCATAATTTAATAATTGCTATTATTTAAAATGTCTTTAAGTGGCTTACACTTTGACTTGGCATTAAACCAAAACATGGTGTAAGCAGAAAGCACAGAAACAATACCACAGCATACATTTGTTGGTGATGCAAATGCTCCTTACTGGAAGGAACACATTTTTGCAAAGGAACTGAGATATTAAGTTTCCTTTGAAAGGAAAATGCCCACAGATGAAGATGTTAGGTTTTGATATTGAGATATGTGCCAGAGTTACATGATCCCATATAATGCAAGCAAGTGCCAGCAACAATATTTACATTTCGTAAGCTTTTTGTTTTTAAGATTTATTTATTTATGCATACAGAACTGGGGTACAGGCCAGAGGTGCAGGGGGTGAGAGGGTTTACCAGAGACAGAAATGGGAGCAGAACAGGTGGGTTTACTGAAGGGACCCACAGGTGGGTCTGCTGAGGGGAGCAGTGGGTGAGAATGAGTCGTCTGGTTTGCCATGTGGGTCAGCTCCCAGGCCAGGGATGGAACTTGTGCTGTAGTGGCTGTGGATGGCTTCATAGTGCTGTGCTTTAACCCCTGCACCACCAAGAAGGCCCAAATAAATAACATTTTGATAAAGAAAACAAAAGACCAAGTAGAACACAAAAGCAAAGCTAACTAAAATATGAGCTGAAGATACTAGTGTCCACAAAAAACAAACAAAAAAAACCCCCCAACCCCCCAAATATTTGTGCATTGTAGTTAATAGGAAATAAAACATATCCTGAATCCAGTGTTCCACCTCACCTATTTTAATGTCACTTTGAGACACTATTACAGAAACTTGGAAATATACTCTCATAGAAACCGGGAAGATTTAAGACATTTTTCAGACTTCTCATTAAAAAAAAAAAACCCATAGTGCAGGTTAAAATTTCCATTATGAAACTGCAACTCATGTGTATGTTGTTTCTCATTAAAACTGTAATATGCTGGGGCCTCCCTGGTGGCCTATGGGCTAAGTCTCAGTGCTATCATTGGTGCAGCCTCAGTTAGATCCCAGGCCAGGGAGTTAACCCACTTATGGCGCATTTAGCAGTATATTTCAGTAGATCTGCCTGTTCTGCTCTTCACTGTCTCTGGTGAATGTCTCACTCCCTGCACCTCCAGCCCACACCCCAGTTCTTGTGTGCAGAAGTAAAAATTAACCTTTAAAAAAAGAGGAAGGCACCCTATTTTATCACTTAAAAAAGGTAGCAAATAGGAATCTCCCTGATGGTGCAACGGGTTAAAGCACCGCACTATGAAGCTCTCCGAAGTCACTTCAGCACGAGTTGTATCCCTGGCCAGGGAGCTGAGCACATGGCTCCTGACCCGCCCGCTGCTCCCCTCAGCAGTTCACTTTGTCAATCTGCCTGTTCTGCTCTCCACTCTGTCTTTGGTGAATCCTCTCACCCACCACACCTCTGGCCTGTACCCCATTCTGTAAGCATAAATAAATAAATCTTAAAAAAAAAAGGTAGCAAATAACAACTCTGGAATTAGCAATTAATTTAGGGAGGCAGATAGTAAATACACTGGTTAGTGTGTGTTTTGGTAACAGATCTGTGTTCTAATTCCTAGTGCTGACTTTCTAGCCACAAGGGCTCGTCTAAACTATTTTCCTTATGGAGAAATTCAAAATCTACTCAAGTACTGAGGATGTGTCAGATAAGTAGGGGACCTGGCAGTGAACAAGAGACAGCTTTTTCTGTCCAACAAACGATTTTTCAACCGTGCCGACGACAGATAGGTGAGAAACAGCGGAATATCTTATCTGTAAAATAAAAATACTCCTCCCAAGTGGATTAATTGCGATACATTAAGGCGATTACTCAGTTCAGTTCCTAGGGCATAATTAACGCTCAATAAGTAATTAAAACAAGCTTGTCAGAGGAACACAGACCGAAGTTTGGGTTTCATTTCGTATTACTTGATGGTTTCCTTCGATACAGCTTGGTCCTCTGCCCTTTCCATTCAGGATCATCATTAAAAGAGTAAGGGAAGAACTTCCGACACGGTGGACATCAAAGAAAAGGCGGGAACCTCTAGCCCAACGAGGGTTGCAGCATCCGGTCCCCAGCAACCACCTCTGGGACCCAACCCGGGAGCGCCCGCTGCGGAGGCCCAGAACGAAACCTCCTATTGGCCAGTCGTACTCAAACGCAGCGCCTTTCCCCGCCCCCTCGCTCCGCCGTCCTATGCGCTCCCGTCCACTCGACCCCGCCCCGCTCCCGTCGCCCCGCCTCCCTGGTGGATTTCGCGCCGTTGGTGGACCTGGGGGTGGCGATGGCGGCGGTGCGCGTGCGCGCTCTTTCCCGGACCCTCCTTCCGAAAGGAGGAGCGAGCTGGCGGGTGCTGGGAGGCCGACCGCTTTCCGCCTGGGTGAAAGGGCGGCGGCGCGCTGGGCGGGGCCGAGTTCCTGGGCTGGAGGCCTGCCCGTGGTGGGGCCTGTGACTGCGAGCCGCTGGGAGCTGCGAGCCGCTCAGGCGGGGCGGGGCTGGCCGAGAGGAGTCCGCGCGCGACCGTGTTGAGCTCCCGGCTCTGGCGCTGCTCGCCCGCCGCGTCGTCGCGCTGGGGTCTCCAGCATGTCGGAGCTGCGGCAGAGAGTGGCCCGCGAGCCGGACGCGCTGCCCGAGGACAAGGTAGCACAGCATCACCTGGGTGGGCGCGCCCGGAATAGCGGCGCCCCCCGGAGTGGGCAGGGGGCGCGCGCGCAGAGGGGTCTCTTTACCCTCTGACCCTTTGTCGCGGCCCTTGGCTATACCTGGCCAGGGCAGCCCGCTGGATTCTCGGGTGCAGGGCCCCAGTGGAGTGTGAGTCAGGGATCAGCGGGTCGGGGTCCCCGGGACGCGGCTTTGGGGTCGGATTGTGGGTGCTGTACTCGGAGCGCAGGATGGAGCGCGCGCGGTGTTGCGCACCTCCTCCTGCTTCCCAGGGCTGCTAGTTGTCCACCTCCAGCCCCCCACCTCCCCGAGGCCTTTCTGGGTGTGAAAACGTTAAGACCGTGTAAAGCCTTTTCTGGCCGGCGAAGACTCTTGAGTCCGACTTAAGATTTCGTCTCGCTAATATTTTGGCCGGAGGCGGGTGGTGAGGGGGTAGGAGGAGGTGTTTCCAAGACCAGGCCGTGGGTTTGGCCTCTTCGGAGATTTAAAGCCCTTTTTGAAAGTTAAATATGTTCCCTTTAAGCAGAGAGGTCCCTTGAACCAGGCAGTCGGCAGGTGCTGGAAAGTATACTCCCAGTAGATGGTCTTGTTTCCTGCTTCAAGTGTGGGCTTTGATGGGGTAGAAGTGGAGGGTTAGAAAAGAGGCCATCTTGGTGGGGATGTAGCTGCTTAGGGGATGGGGATGAGGGGAGAGCACGCCTTTCGTTGAAGTGAAGGTTTTTGTAGGGGAGTTGAGAGGGGGAGAGTGACTGTATTACTTAGACGTTGAGTGACAGCATAAGGTTTGGGTAGTAGTTGGAGTTATTAGTGGCCACGAGCCGTGTATTTTCGCTAATTGATCTGGCAGTGATGTGTGATGGACTGGGGGAGCCTGGATCAGAATGAGAAATTGGTTGTCTTGGGGATTGCCAACTGGTGCTTTGATCCAAATGCTATTTTATACATTGGGTGATTCTCTTAATCAGAATTTCTTGCCCATCTTGGATGATAATTGAAAGAGCTGCCATCGCATTCCCACCAGATGAATATTTGGCTGAAACTGGTAAACATCTGTTCCCACAAATCCGTGTTGTCCTACAGTAGATCCCCAACACCCTTTTATGTATCTTGAACTTTTTGATAGCTGGAGGTAAGGGGCATTCGGAGACATCAGGAAGGAGGGAAGCACAAGACAGGTCAACAGAACAGTTATAGTAGGAGGATGTTTAGGGTGAAAGTGGGGTTTTATTTATTTGTTTAAAAAGATTATTTATGCCTCTGGGTCCATCAGTGAGCCAGCCTGGAAAGTGGGGCTTTAAAACACTTTTTTTGCAGAGTGGCTCCATATTGTTTTTTAAAATCTATTTTGTAGAAATTTAGTATTTTGGTACAAGTTTGGGAGTTGCTTGCTGAGATAAGTTACTCTGAAGTCTAATTAAAGATTTAATGGGGGCCTTCCCTGTTGGTGCAAGGGGTTAAAGCACAGCACTATGACGCTGTCGGCAGCCCGTGCAGCACTGAGTTTGATCCCGGACGGGAGGTGACCCACATGGTTTGGCAGACCTCTCCTGTCTCTCCCACTGCCCCCCTCAGTAGTGTATTTCAGTCAGTCCACCTGTCCTGCTCCCCATTCTGTCTTTGGTGAATCCTCTCATCCCCCACCCCCTGTATCCGTAACTTGTACCCCAGTTCTTGAATGAATTAATAAGTAAATCTTTAAAAAGAAAATAAAGATTTAATGGTAGCTTCCCATTAATATTCTGATCCTACCTAATAGAACTCTCTCCACACTCCCTATACTAGCTGGTTAGTATACAGATGTTAGGAGGCTGTGGAACCCTTTTTAAGAGTAAGAGCTAGACTTGATGTTAGAGGGAGTTTATGGACTTAGGTGTGAGAAAAAGAAGGCAAAAAAGATAGACTAGGCATTGAAATTTTTTTTTAAATTGTTGTACAAATTTAGTGTTAAAAATAAATGAATACCCTCTCCCCCCAACTGTGGGATTATTGGGTGAGACAAAATTTCTATCTTCTCCACCCAATTCCTTGGATATACTCTCCAGGAACAAAAAGAAACACAAAAAACCTGTTGCATCTTAACATATTTTCTCATCTTATGTAGGGAGGGCATAAGGAGCTGTCCAGCTAAAGGTGCCTTAATTTTGTACGACTGCACTTTAAACTACTTACTCAACGATAGGATGCTTGGGGTTTTGGGGCTTGCTAAGTGCATGTTTCCCCCTAAAACACAGCAATTACTACATGCTGGTAAGAGTCTTATTGTAGTAGTCTAGTAACTCAGAACAAGGCAGTCAGGCCTTTATCTCATCATTTATCATTTCCAAGTTATCACATATAGGATTTTTAATAATAAAGATACATTCTGGCCCTCCCTGGTGGCACAGCGGGTGAAAGCACAGCACTAAGAAGCTAAAGTCACTTCAGCATGAGCTCGATCCCCACCCGGGAGCTGATCCACATGGTGGGGCAGACCTCTCCTGACCCATGCGCTGCTCCTTCAGCAGTGTACTTTGTCATTCTGCCTGTTCTGCTCCCCACACTGTTGATGGTGAGTCCTCTCACGGCCCCTGCACCTCTGGCAACAAATCTTAAATAAAAAAAAAAAGATACATTCTAAAACTAAAATATTTTATTTGTTTTTGATGAATGTATCTAGTGAGTTTTTAAAATACTGATTTCATAGTTTGAAAAATCTACTTATATCATTCTGACTTTGCTGATACTCATATTAAATCTTAAACCATTAGAAATGATATAAATTAAATTAGGAAAATCATTTATGGAAATGAATTGTGAATTGGAAAACTTATTAGATCATAATAGAAAACAGAAGACAGTATAAAGTCAATTTATTAAGAGAACTTGACACATTTCAGTGATTCTTTAAAATATAGTTGCTTAAGTACTGTGGCAAAATTAAGTAATCATTAGTTTCAAAATAATCTGGAGGATGTGTTTATTATAAAGGTCAGAAGGTATTGTGTTATATTTAGTATCCTAGAGTGGTTTCAAAGCCAATTACTAATAAAGGAAATGTTTTCCTCTGGGAACCATGCTTATAATTTTAAAGTCCAAAGCACAGTATTGTTGCCAAACTAAGAAACTTGAATTTAAGCTTTGGGAATCACCCTTTTCCGGCCCAATTGTGTTTTCCCAGTGGTGTGTAGGAAAGCAAAGGATAAAATGTGGGCCTAAAGATCGGAGTCTTAAAATTTTTGATAAGGTTGGCGTTTCAGTTGGCTTTGACTTGGAGGTTATTGTGGAGGTTCTGGGGTTTTCTGCTATACTTAGATGCTAGCGTGTTAGACTTGTTTACTTATTTTGAGTCTTCCTTTCCAGCTCAGTGAAACCAGTATGGAGAGGAAATAGAGGAAATCATTTAGAAAGGGGAGTTTAAATTTTAACCGAAGACAGTGGTTAAGAGCAGGGGCTTACAAGTCAGCTCCATCCATCTTGAGCCTTGACTCTGCTGTTTTTCAGCTGTGTACCTTTGAACAAATTATGTAACTTGTGTAAAGCCTCAGTTTGTCCATCTCTAAAATGGGGGTGATAAGATAACATGTGCTTCAGAGGATATTCATATGAATTAGGTGAGTAGCACATTACATACATTGGGCAGAATTATCACATTGTAATAAAGTGTTATTTATTGTTACTAGCAGAAATGTATAGCTTTATAGAAACAAAACCTGAAATATACCTTTTACTTTTGGAAGATTATTCAATCTTTAAGTTATAAGTGTTTGGGGTAGTCTTTCCTATTGAGCACCTCTTAAAAAAAGGTTTTATTGACACTTGACAGATTTACTAAACTCTGAGTGTTCAGAATTATAAGCAAGCTTTAACCATATAAAGAGCACCACTGTATATACTTGCCTTCCCTTCAACACTAGTTGTAGTATGTCTTAGGAAAATGGTGCCTAATTATAAGTTGTTTTCTGGTAGTCTTTCAGTGAACTACTGAATTAAAATCTTACTTTAGGAGTTTTAACTACTATAGATGTGTAGATGACTTGCAAAAGTGCTTTTTTCATTGAGAAATAATATGGATATTGAAACAGTCAGGACTTCCTTTGTGGGTGGTGGCGGTGCAGAGAGAGTACCATGACTGTGTTGGGCACACTGGCACAGTACAAGGTGGCTGCCTGCCCAGCCCACCTGCTGCTGGTGGCCCTTTTACTGAGTCCAAACCTCCTGCTCCCCACCAAACACACACACATCACCAAGTGTGCTTCTGGTACTTTATGTCTCAGCTGGAGAAGATGGAGGAGATTTAAGGGGAGACTCTGCTGTGGGCAAGTGTTTGAGAAGGAAACCCTGAGGCGTTACCTGGCTGTGCTAGGGGTCCCATGGAGGTAGGCAAAAGTTGGACCTGGAGTTCTGGAACCTGACCACTGCAAGGTGCCCAGTGCTGCTGCCTGCGCCAGCTTCATATCACTCAGATTTTGAGGGTGCAGATCGCTGGTGGCCAAGCAGTTTCTCCATGACTTCAAATTTTGAAGTTCTCGCTGCTCTGCCTCACCTGGTCCAGCTCTGTGTTGCCAGCACAAACTACATTTCACCACCTACTTGCACACTGACCACCTTTTAAATGCCCTCTCCATTGGGTCTGCACAAATAAACTCAAAGAACCAGAAAAAAAAAAAAAAGAAAAGCCAGCAAACTTGTTAACTATGTTTTTCAAACCTAGACAAGGAGAGAAAGGAAATTGATTTGTCATATAACTCAAATTATGGTATAATTTCATCTTAAATTTTATGACTATTATTTTTTCAGAGAAGTGGATACCATATCCCTGACCTTGCTCAAGGTTATAGAGCTGGTTAGATGCAGGATTGTCATAGTATGGGCATTTTCTAGTTCCCATTTTTTTCCTCAAGCTGCATCAGATTGACTGGAAAGTATACAAATAATTTGTATACTTTAAAATTGTCTGCATTGAATGGCTTTGGTAGAAAAAATGCCCAGCTGTCTGCTGT